AAGTATATCTTTAACAAAACACTTAATGAAATATATCTTTTCTCTCAAATATCTTATTGTTCGTAGCTTTGTTATTTTGTTTTGCCACACATAAACACCTACCACACCTATCCTTTCTTCCAACAAATAACCCATTAAATAAATAAATACCTTCTGCGTAATAAAAATAAAATAAAAAATATTACATGCATTAATACCATTTTTTTTCTGGTTGTGGGTAGAATTGTGTCCAAATCTTAAACTAAATCCAATATTCTTAAACGAAATCAAATTTTTCTGGTATGATTCTGATATTCCAGACAGTCTTTTAACGGAAATCCTCATCAGGCTTCCCTTGAAATCCATCTTCATCTTCAAAACTGTCTCCAAGCGCTGGCTTTCTCTGATTTCTGTTCCTTTCTTCGCTTGATATTATGCCACCCGAATCAACAGTGATTCAGTACTATCTCCGTCTCATCAGCTACGGATCCTTCTGTTTCCTTATTTTCTTAAACAAGTGATACCACTGGATACAGTGATTCGGTTTCCTACTTCTTTCAATCCTGAAGAATTCTCCGAGCTGTCCTCTTCAGTGTTTTCGCTTTCGTTTCTTCCTAACTAGACCGCAAATTCAGTACTTTCTCTACATATTATAGCGTCAAACAAAGTATGGTGTTGTGTTGCAGGAATGCGTACAGCGTACCCCTTAACTTATAATGTGTGTAATCCACTTACCAGTCAACATGTCATTCTGCCAACGCCACCGAAGCCAGCTAGTTTCACCCATGCAATGCATGCAAGAATTATTTGCCAAGATTATGGTAGTTACACGGTAGTGAGAATCCCGAATCAAGATGGTTCGTCAGATATGCTTGAATTGGAGATTTTCTCTTCTGAAACTGGTAAATGGGCAGAGTTAAAAAATTTATCTTTTGTTTCTGTATAAATAGGTAGCTATGTAAGTTTACGTTATTGAGTGTGGAAAATTAAAAAGAGAAACACAAGAGAGAAAGAGAATTTGAGAGTTTGCAATTTTATCTAAACTTGTCATTTATGAAATAAAACATAATGTTTTTATCTCTTGAGTGTTTCAAAACCATCATCAATGATCTCTCCCACCAACACATACGCACTCTTGCACCAGGTCGTTGCCTATGTAACTAAAATTCTTACACTTGATTTAAACCACATAGCCAATCTGTAAGAATCAAGTAAAAAACACTGTCCCAGTTTGGTTGTTTTTAATCGAAGATTAGGTTATTCCGGGCTAACCATATACCCCACGCTATCCCATAAGAGAGAATATTCCATGTTTTTTCTGCATCTTACCATTAACCAACGAATGTCATTGCAGAATCTGATGATCATCTACCAGTTTAGGAAAGCAACTATATACACCTCACCACGAAAGGAAGCGGGTCTATATTGTCCACAAAACTGGACACCGAAGAAGAAGGTGATCTGAAGTCTCAAGTTCGCTATCATAAAAAGGACATTGAGCTTCGTCCCTAGGAATTAATCCACGAATGAAAAAGTAAGCTCTCTCTCTATATTGTACATGGTAGTTTCAGTTCAAGCTAACAGAACTTCACTGATTATCTTTGCTTCATGTTGATTCAAAGCATCTAATGCTTCAAGGTAACATGTTCAAGCTCAGGATTGTCTAAGATAATTATTCTTTGGGATAAATTGCTAAAGGTCATTCTCAACTTTACCAATAAAGTTAAGCTGATATGGACTAGCAGCTTTCCTGGCCTACAAAAATAACTCTGTAACTAACCGTATCATCTCCACCTGCAACGTGTCCCCAGACTCTCATTCGAGTTTTTTGCTCCATGCTTGCAGGCAGGCTGCTTCTGCTTACTGCCTCCCCTTACAGCTAGAAAAAAGCGACCGGATAAAGAAAGCCAGAATGATTAAAACGATAGCTCCTGCGACTTAACCTTGCAGTAATGTAATCATTCATCTTGCTTCTTCTAACTACAATTACTGTACCAGCATGCAGGGCCAACAACCACTCGAAGATTAATTTAATTGATTCTAATTAACTTGCAAAAAAGATTAGTCAAAAACAATTACCAGGAGCCAGGAGCCAGGAGCTTCGCAGCAAGAAATCGACTTCAATTTATGAGTTTTGACTAACAATTAACTGCATTTACACTAAAATTGACTAAGGATGTCAAAACCAGACTTGATAAAATGACCGAATGTGGACGGTGAATGAGAGGTATAAAAAATCTATATGATATAAGATTTTTAAAATAAAAAATGAGTTGGTAATTACTTTGAATAGAGTGAGTGGATAATTATCAAAAGTTATTTTGAGTAAAATGAGTGTGTAGTTGTTGAAACTTATCTTAAACTTTTTTATTTAAAGGACGAGGCAAGACAATTAAAGAGGAACACAACTCAAAAACTCAACAAAACAACTACATTGCAGTTCAATCAAGTTTATAGAATCTTCAAAATTTATTTATCAAGTAGACATTTAATTCGAGGCTTATAACCAATAAGTAATGGCTTGTAAGAAGTAATTTTATCGGTGTTAATTAAGTATTAATTAAGTATGCTTATAATTTTCTTTGTAATTAGGATTGCAGTTTTAATTTCATAAACCAATAATATCAAAAGAATATTTTGAGTCTGGATATAATCAGAATATGAATTACTTTATGAATATAAATATTTTTTTTAAGTTATTGAGTTTATTTTATATTCAAATTATTTTAATTATTTGACTACTTTTTAAATTAAACTACTATTTATGTGAAAGTAAATTTAATTATATTAATACTTATATAACTCTGTAATATAAATTTGAAATTATATGAGTAGATTCAAGATTAAATTCAGAGTTTAAATTAGTTTACTTGAAACTCCAATTTAAAATTACAAAGTGATTTTAATTGAGATAAACACAAATAACTTACATCAAACCCTTCACTGCATAACCTCATAAAGATAACTTTACTGCACGATTCGTGTTTCATGTTTCGAACAGGAAATATGAACTGTGTTAATTGATGGAATCTTCTCCAGAGCCAAGTATCAATGGTAAATTGCCAGTTCTTCCCTACATGTTCCCAGACTTTCTGTTTTCCACCGAGTTTTAATGAAAGGTGTTATTTATTGTGTCAGTTAATCACTATTACAACTTCTTTAACTCATAATCAGAAAAGGAATCTTAAGGCAAGGTCCTTTCCAATATATTAAGCCTTTAGATTGTTGGAATAGATTAGTGCAGTTTAGACTAGAACAACTTCGCTGATTATCTTGTCTGTAATTTGAAACCTGAAGCTCATTGAGGCTTTTGTTGTATCCTTGCCCATTTTATTTCACACAGTAGAGCACAATGGTTCATGGATCTTAAAGCAGACAGATCAACCTAGTTATGTTGAATCATTTCAAGAGTTTTTTTTTTTTTCCTGTTCTTTTAGATTAAGAAGCGTTGTGCTATTCCTCAGTAACTTGTCGAGATTGATTGACTTTTGGATAGTTAATTCCTTCTCTTTTATCTTGTGTGAAGTTAAACGTGATTTAGCAATAAGGACGGGCAACCTTCAAGGAATCACTAGTAGAACCTTGAGTTGGCGAGTTCTTGGAAATAACTGACACTAAAAAAATTAAATTATAGTAGTACTAAATAATTTAACCAAAGATAAACATAAAAATAAAATAGATGAACAGGGTATGCTCTTTATTTTTGAATTGAATACTTAAACTAATAACTTTCTTAACTACATCAGGAGGCACTAATTAAAGATGGTTATGATGGCAAGGTTTCCCCATGCTTGCTGTCAAGCTGCTTCTGCTTCTGCTTCTGCTTCTGCTTCTGCTGATTGCCTCCCCTTACAGCCGGCAACAAGTGACCAGGCAAAAAAAGCCAGAATGATTAAAACGATTGTTCCTACGACCAACCCTGCAGTAATGTAATCATTCATCTTGCTTCTTCAAATCAACCTTCTAGCTTCAAGTACTGGACCTGCATGCAAGGCCAATAATCACACAACGATTTAACTTAATGGATTCTGATAAACATGAAAAAGATCAGTCAAAAACAATTACCAGCAGCCAGGAGCTTCACAGTAAGAAGTCGACTTCAATGTACGAGTTTTGAAAAAAGTATGGCCTATATTTATATTGAGTATTTGGTAGTCTATACAGGAAATTGTTTTTTCCCTTAATTGCTAGGTTAACAGTTCAGGAAGTTTGGCTACAGGATGCCCGAAACAGTATAGGAAATTGCTTCTTGTGGCATAGGAAGTTATTTGTCGGAAATAGTATAGGAATTTTTTCTTTTGGCAAGTTCGGCTACACCTATAAGTGCAGGAACCTTTGTTTTAGCCCTTATTTTTTAAAAAAAAATCTCTGGAGCAATTCCTTGAAAGTTTGTTACATGGCAGCCCGTGATAAGCAAAACATGTGCAAGACAAGCTGCATTATGACAACTGCAATGCACAGCTTCGACCTGCATTATCTCCTCTGCATAATCTCATACGTATGCCTATTTTTTCCCTAGTTTTCAGTTGCACAATTCATGTTCGTCCATATTTTGAACAGGAAATCAGCAGCTGATACATTTGTCGAGTCGTCTCTAGACTCGGGTGTCCCTTTACCAGTGGAAAATAACCAGTTCTTCCCTTAATGTTCCAAGACATTCTGTTTCCCATAAAAGATTTTAATGAAATGTGGGGTTCTTTATTGTGTCAGTTGATCAGTGTTCCTCAGACTCGTAGTCAGGAAAGGAGTCTTAAGGCAAGGTCCTTGCAGTATTTAAACTTCCAGTCGGTTGATTAGACAATTTTGCGTCAGGGGAAGTTTGAAACCTGAATTTGATTCAAGGCTGGAGAAGGATTAGCTCGGTTATGCATTACCCTGCTTTATTTCTGTATCTTAGAACAGAAAAATTCATGCGGTGATGGAGCTTTGTTGGTCGAATCAAATCGATTTAGATTTGAGTTCTCAACTATAATTGACTAGTTCATTCAGCATCAAAAGTACAAAAATACAACAAAGACCGCTGAATCGGCTTAATTAAACATGCTTAAGATTAACTGCTGTTTATGATCATTTCATATTGAAACAGCTGATAGACAAAAATATGAACTACTTTGGACTTACAACAGGACACAAGTCCATGTTCTCAAGCTGGGCAAATGGAGAAATTTATTTAAAAAAAAAAATGGAGAAACAAATTGGATCCTGCATATGCAAATTCAGCGATATGCATGCATAGAGATCAATAATAGATTGCCTTCAACATCAATGAATCTATACATGCAGGATACGTGGCAATGTCTAATCCTGCTGGGCATTGGATGGATCGATCTTGGCACGGTGGAATCTCACTACCATGCATGTTATGTTATCAGCCCTGCCCCGGGTAAAAGCAGCCTCGGTTAATTTCCTAGCTGCTGTCTCGGGTTCTTCTCCTGTTCTGGCAATGGAAACAGCATCCTACACATGATTCAGGCAAGGGGAGGCAAAACCAGCTCAAAGTCTAGAAATTGCACACCAGGAAAAGAAACCTCAAGCAAACATTCCATATCACCAATCAGATGTTTAATTCAATGCACTGTAAAGAGCAATCAATTATTTCTATGATAACCAAAATGTCTAATAGCCTAAGCAGTGGGCCAAATGTAAATGGTCAACTCGCACAATCCATTATTATAATCTCACATCAAAACTGAACAAAGACATGTATTCATGCTTACGTGCTTTTATGCATCAGTGTGTGTGAAGGGGGGGGAGGGGGTGTGGGGGTTAGCATAATTACCTCATTGGGTACCACATCCCATAGACCATCACTTGCGAGCACAAGCAATTCAAATTCTTGATCTATTTTCTGCTCCTGAAAGGGCGAAAAGTATACAAACAAGTTGCTGATTAATTTTGAATAAACTTCAATCGGAAGAAGTTCATGCAGTTTGATCCAGGAAAATGGAACAAATCCTAGACTGAATTCTATTTTGATAGCCACCAAGGAGGCTTTTATAAGCAGAAGTTCATTAACCTGTTCAAAACATTACACGCAGCAGCACTGAAGGGAAAGATGACCCTGAAAGGAAACTTCTTTATTTTTTAGGTCTGTGTATAACATTAAAAGTTTTCCCTTACCCCACTTCCATGTTTTAGTGAAGATAACAATTAAATCCCGCATCTTTGATACAACACCATGGAATTACAATCTTAATTAGCTGGCATCTCACGTTGATATTACAGTTCAATTCAGGTGCTCAAGAAAAACCACCAAGATCAAAAGTCAAAACAATAAAAGACCTCGTTGTCACCTGCTGTTGCAGCATAAATATAACCTAGCATCTAACACTAATACACTCTTTTTAAAAGTTTACAGTCAACTGAGGAAGGTAATTTGCTCTGCTAGGATAATTCCTACGATGAAAGAACAAAAAAAAAAATCAATAATACCCAGACTCGAAATTGAAGCATTCCTTGAACATATTACTTGCTTGTGTTTGAAACCAAAGGCAGAAAATTTATCACATAATCAAAATCATTTCTAAGAAATCAAAATGATACAAGACTACATTCAGAAAATGGGTGAGATATGTTCATAGAATACCTGGATATCAGGTTCTGCAACAACAAATTGCTTCAACATGCGGTTACCAAAAGCACGGGACATGGCCAATACACCTCCTACTCTCCAAGTGCCTGACAAGACAGTCAAAGCAGTATGATTTAAGTTTTTAGGAACAGTCTCAAACTTATTGACATTTAATGCACATGTGGTAGAAGAAATAAATGAAGCTCCCTCCATCCCAAATTTCCTGACAGCTCTCTTAGCTACAGTATATGTTTATCTGATACGTCTAATGGAAGCAAAAATCATGGCTAAAGGTTACAAAGGTGGACTCAGATAGTCAATAGTTGGAGATGTTCAGTAACAGCAGGTTCCACCACCCATGGACAAACAGCATCACAGTCAGTCTGTGATGAGTAGCATAAAGTGAGGCAGCAGATCAGGAACTAGGGTTTTAGGTAGGATTTTTCATCTCAAATACTGCTTTACTTACTATGCTCAAAGCTGGGAACGGTGCATAGTGTTGCACCAAAGAGAAAGACTTATGTGGAGAATAACAATGCCAATCCTTCGGACATATCACACGCATACCACAATTCACATGAAGATTTAAACCAATTAGATGTTCCCTGGTGTCCCAAAGCTTTCATCCTTTTGAATGTCAAAATTTTTCTTGACAATCGAAAAGGAAGTAATATTTTAAAATTCCTACACGA